TTAACAATAGAGGCTGGTAACATCAGTGAAATAACAAAGTGACATTCAATAATGCAATTTGTAAGAGGTTAAGTCAATCCACCAACAAAAGCTTGTTGTTAGCAAAAATTTTCTTTTCCTACAGCAATTTCCTTAGTATGTTTACATAACAATCAAGTAAGGTTAACCTGCAAGGACATCTACCCTTTCAGCCAGCAATTTTGCTGTGTTACAATTCTATATTTACAACAGAGACTTTAGCCTGAGGAAAGTTTCCTGTCTTTTGCAAGGTTAACATTTCTATATGTAATTTTAAAAGTTTAGGTTATACCTGAAACTACAGGGCTTTGGAAACTAGGCCCTGTGAAATACATTTGCTTTATAAATGTTAGTACACTCCACAGGGAGGGACAAGGGGCATGGTTGGCCTACCAGTCTGATGGGAAGTTTTGGGGAAGCCATTACTGACCTCTCAGGTCATTCACTTAAGCATAAATAAGCTTCTTGACCTCTGCAAATCCAGGCCCTCACTCATGTACTCTAAGTAGCTTTAGAAATTGCTTGGTAGGCTTTAAATAATAATTTTAAAAAAAAACTCAGAAGGAACAGGGGTGTGATATGGGGGATCCCTCTTAAGGGACAACGTTTATGGTAGGCCTAATTTGGCCTATACTAACCTTCCTATAGTTTCCATGAGGGGCCTTTGGTCTCCCTGAACTTCTTGTGTGTATGTCTATCTTGCTTTTTTTTTCTGATAGGCATAGATATTTGCTGAGTTAGCCATAACTCGTGATGCAAACTATAAAGGAGGCCACTTATGATTCTGAGCTCATCCCTGCATCAGAAATCTCAGAAGCACCTTGTGTCCAATAGAGGCTTCTAAGAGCTGATTGCTGTGAAAAATGATTACATTGCATAATGTTGAATATAGTAATTATCCTGATTTGAGCATCACATGGTGGACACAGATATTGATATTCAACTCTGTACCCAACAGATATATAAATCAATTATGTTTCAATAATAATAACAAAAAAAGAATGAGCAGGGAAAAAAAAAATAAGAGCTGATTGGCAGGGGAATATCACAGGCCCATAAGTAGGACAAATAGATCTAAGTTGGTTCAGAAGGTCCTATTAGCTCTCTCTTCTGAGAAGATAATGTCCATCTTCCAGCCTCGCACTTGAAGCTTAAGAGGGATGTGATGGATTATGGTGCTGGAACGAAGGTGCTCACCTGGGAGAACACTGAGACAGATGATCAAAGGGGAAGAGAGGACAACCTGTAACTTCTAGGAAAGTCTACTACTTTGACCTGCAGAGACTACCTTGCTTGCTATCACAATACCAGTAGATTTCATCTGAACTTAAAGTCCTGGAGATCAATAACAATTTCACCTGATATTGTTAGCACCTAGAATAGCCCCAGGTCTGTGGTAGACCATCAGTAACACTTGTTGAATAATAGTGAAGTTTTCAAAGATTCTGTAAATTAGATGGGCCTCCAACTTTGTGATATTCTTGGGTCCCTGGAAGCCATGGCTATAGATAAGGAGTAGCAGAAGTATATCAAGGACAGGTGTTGGGAAGATTCCACCCCAGGAGCAGGTAATAGAGGGTGCAGTGTCTAAATAATTTTAAAACAGTAATGAAGCTGACTAAAAAAGTTGGTCTACTTTTTATTATCACTATGAGCCAGCAATTGTAAACAATATCAGTACTAAAATACTCCCCCCAAAATCTTTTATTGGTCTAAACAATTGCTAGATTACTGTTGAGTTTTAATAACATATGCAAACTTCAAAGTGCACATTTTTATTGTTTTTCCTTTAATAACTATTTCATTTTACATGGAACGTAATTCAGAGAATTACCCATGATACTGTTGGCTCCCGGCAGACACAGTATCAGCTCATGTCTCCAATCACTGTGGTACCGTATATTCTTGCATTTAACAGTAGATTTGAAATGAACAATGATTATAAAGACAAGAAACAGAACTTGAATTACCTGAATGTTTTACTCTATGTGGCTATATAGGGTGTTTCTTCTTAGACAACTTTGTTGAGGCATAGTTTCTATGCAGTAAATGCACTCAAAGTTCAATGAATTTTGACAACTTCATGTGCCTGTGTTCTCAGGCAACTGCCCCATGCTGTACTCTTCCTTCCTGCCATGACCCTCTCTTGAAACTTAGCTGTTTTGTGTTCCAACTCCCTGACATGCTATTGGGGAAATATGATATCAAATAAGCCTAAGATGTTTAATAATTAATACCTAATTCATGTATAATCTATGTATTCAGAGCAGTATTTATCAGAATACAATTCATATACCTGACTCACTGAGAATGCAGATGTAAATTCCTGGGTATGATATCAAATAAGCCTAAGATGTTTAATAATTAATACCTAATTCATGTATAATCTATGTATTCAGAGCGGTATTTATCAGAATACAATTCATATACCTGACTCACTGAGAATGCAGATGTAAATTCCTGGGTCCTATCCTAGACCCATTGAATCAGAATCTGAGAGACAGCACCCCAGGTGACACTTAAGCTTACTAAAGTATAGCAGCCCTTTGCATTTAAGGAGTGAGTCACATACTTTAACCCTAAAAAACTGAATTTGTATTTGGCAAATTTAGCAAAAATTTAGGGGCAAGAGCTATATGATGAGAGAGACTTTTTTGGATAGGAGAAGTATCTCCTTGATAAATCTCAATATCCCATGTAAATAAACTATTCATTATTCTTACTCAAAAGCCAGGGCAAACCGATGGTATGTAATAACATAGTAGCTAAATCTACTAACACGATTTCTAGAGTTGATTTTACTAAATATGCATTATGATTCCACCAAAATTAATTTTGTCTTGGTTTTCCCTACTAGTCCCTATTTTGTGATGAAAGCCATAGAAAAATGTCTGAGAGTTCCTGCACCTTTTCAATTAAAATGAGCTGCTAATTGCATCAGTGCTTGTAGAGAAGACCATTATATCAGCCTCATTGACTCTGCTTTCCTCCCTAAATTACAGTCAGCTGCCTGAAATGTAATCAGTCCCTATGTTGGAAATTAGTCCCTCAACTACCTCTAGAGAATTATTGCTCATTTTTCTCCATATTAGGGCTATCATACTGCGCCAGTTACACAATAGATTCAGTCAGGTCAGAAGTAGAGGAAATCCCTGTAGCTATTGAAAAG